TGGGGTGTCATGAGATCCTTTTAAGGGTGATGCAGGAATGAAGGATGCAAGAAGGTAAATGCATACTTTCCCCCCCCCACCAAAATTTTGAACCTTGCATACAAATCAATTTCCACTGCCAAAGCACACAGGGAAATGACCACAAGGCCTAAGATGTTGCTACCTGGGGATGTTTTCAGATTAATTCACTCAAACACTCAGTGAAGACTTTAATAACCTAAACTAAGAGAATCAGCATTTTAGCTAGGGATCCTCTCACTAGCCACATCTTTAGCTTAAGGTGGACACTGACTGCAGCTTCTTAAATTCTGTCCTGCTAAACCATCCCAGCTTTTATGGCTGGCTGACCAAATATGCCAGCTTTGAAGATCATGTCTTTACATGATACTTGTGAAAGTGGTTATTTGTTAAAGGCGGGGGCAGTCCTTGGGGGTACAATGGTATGGCTGCACCCCTCTGACTATGTAGTGCAAATGCAGAGTTCACCATTGCTGAGAACTCTGGTCTCAGTCACTGGTCTCTGCTGTTGGTCACACCACCTATGCCAGTGGACTCTTTGCCCCTCCTCCCTCTTTTTAAAATCACAGATCTGCTCCTAGTAGGTTACTGCTTCTCAGTTTCACAATGAGGAGGAAATCGTATTCAGTCTCTGCAACTGTCCTAAGCTCTAGGGTAGCTAAAACAGCTAAGCGGCAAAAGTGTTCATGGTGTTGACTTCAAATTGTCATAGCTCTGCCTCAGCAATTATTCTCCTGAGATGAATGAAGGCAGTTCACAGCACTCTACAACTGCAATACTAAAGCTCTAGGAAATGGGCTTTGTACAAAGTTTCTAAAGAGAGCAAGGGGGAAATGTTTTGATTTGAAATGGCTGCACAACCATTGCCCATCACTGTTAGCAGGACCTGGGCTGACTGTACCATCTACTTTTACACAGGGATGGGGCAGAAGTTTAAAGCTTCCAGGTAAAAAAAAATATTTGTCCCTTCTCCTCTTATCATATGACACCATTTAACTGATCAACTAAAATCAAAATTGTGTCCTGTTTGCCTCATCATTGGTAAGGGAGATTCTGCAGTCAGAACGTAGGTATCTGTTTTGATGATAATGCATGAAGTAGTATAGGGTACAGCTCACTCTTTCTTAATGTCATTGGTTCTGTAGTGCTGAAGCAGAATAGCGGGGTACAAAACAACTCATCTTCCAGCAATGGAGAAGTTGACTTCAGATGAACATGGCTAACTACCTCTTAGTGATGGAGCCTGAGGGATAATCAATGTGCTCACCCTGGTGAATGTCTGATACTGAAACATGTGAGTACCATTCATCCTAATGCTGCAGTTAGTTTCTTCAGTTACTTTTTATAGGATAAGGGAATTTAAATGCTAAACTCAATGAATCCGACTTTTAGCACTGATGTAAGTGGGTTGTTTAATAATAGCTGTAGCTCAACATGAGCACAAAGGTCCAGCTGGTATTCTGTGGGTTCTGTTGTAGGACAGCAAGGGAGACTTTTTTTCTAAGTAAGCAAAATACAAGAACACATACTTTGAGGAGCAAAGTGCCCTTTGTGATTGCTTACAGTAGCTGTTTACGGTAAGAATATTAGTATCCTTTATACAACACCAGCAAAAGCTACAGTTGCTGTGGAGACCAATATCTTGGATTTCCTGTCTTTTATGTGTGTAAATTCTCAGCCATAACTGTCATAATTCAGTTTATTGCACTGAATAACAGAACCGCTGACATGACTTTCAATTCCATCATTGCATAAACAATGGTGCTGCAATCACTGTGTGGAGCAGCACATGCTGTTTATTTACTTCTTTTTTGAAAAAGTGGAAGTAATTTCTGAACAGTAAAGCAAGCGGAGTTGGTGCCATTTAAAATGGTACCTTTACCTGTTTATACAAGACCTAGAAATTTATCAGACATTACAGAGGACCCCATTCAGTGGATTTCCACCTCAATCTAGAAAATGGGTAGAGCTGTATTTCATTTCAAATTCATAAGTTTAGCTGATTTTATGAGAACAAAATGTATAAGGTAAATAGAGGCATCCAATAAAAGTGACAAAGTTACGTTATAGACCCAAAAGGGGATGGTTGTTGAGGAAACTGTTTCTGAAATTGATAGATAAAAGCTTAAGAGCTATTGTGAAAAGAGTCCTGCTGACTTGCTAAGGAGGGAAGGAAAAGGCTAGAGAGTGCTTACTTCTACTGCAATGGAATTTGATAGGCCTGAAGAAGCTAAAACCTTTCTCCACCTGCATTTTACTGTTACTAATGGTTTTTCCCTGCTTTTCCTTCATGTACATTTAGAGTTTTTCTACTTCAGCTGGGGGAAGAAAGAAGCTAAAAAGGCATTTTGTAGGCAACACAACTTAGAAAGAATGAGCAGCATGAGTCAATTAAAGCAGAAGAGTTATTGAGAAATAATCATACAGTGATTATGCAAATCCCTCAACTCAGAGTGGGTAACAACGGCCATCCATCAGTCAGCATTCAGGGATCCATGTATTAGAATTACTGAGAAATTACTGCATGGGGATGATGTAAGCTAGGCACCCAAAACCAATCAGTGTGCTGGGAGTTGCATTACTGATAAAACACTGCTGCTAAAGGTCAGTAGTACCCAGCACCCATGTTACTGTTTTATGAGCAAGGGAAACAGTTTTGTGACGTAATTAGGGTCTACAAATAATGAAAGCGTTAACCTGGAGTGATAGCCGCAGTTTTTCAAAATTCTCTTCTAGTTCTTTCTTTTCCAGTTCATGGGCAGACATCAGTTCTAGGGAAAATACATAAATATCACATTGCCAAATGAGTCCAACAAACTGTATAAATTAAGGGCAGAGTGCTTAGAGGACATTTATTTTCCATATCAAGAACTTAACTCTATTAGGAAAGCAACTCAAGCGGAAGGAACAGTGGGAAGGAACAGTGACTAGGAGCGGAGCAACAACTCACTGTGGAGTTCTGAGCAAATTCCCAGCATTTCTGAAAGCATCCACAGATTTTAGGTGCCTCAATTTAGAGTGTCAAATATGGACCTTATTTCAGAGATGCTGAGAAACTACAGCTCCCCTGGCATTACACTCAGTATCTCTGAACAAGGACCTTGTCTTTAAAACTCAGGTCCCACCCAACAATCAAGGCTTTTCAAATTAATCAGTACTTTTGTCAATCTGGCCTTAGTCTCCAATTCCCCTGCTGCAAAAATGTGCATCAGAATAACTACTTGGAGTTTTGTACAGGAATATTAAGTGGATGAGCATGCTGCACTTACTTTAAACATACAAAGTACTATATTAATATCCTATAATGATAATTTTTATTATTAGAATGTCAACCCCTAGCAAACTGTGATTTAATAACCAGAAGTTTAGTAACTAAAGCGCATTAAAGTTTAATAATGAAACGAGCGGTATCAAACAGGGCTGAAATTTTGAACTCTTTGGGGCGGGGAACATATGTTTTTTTCTATGTATACACCGAACCTTGCACAATGGAGTCTTGGTGCTTGACTAGAGTTCCTAAGTATTACAGTAATGCAGACAATAAATAATACTAACAATAAATAAATGGAGCTCTTTGCAACTAGCCCAATTCAGTTAACGCTTGGAGTGGGTTACAATTCCACTGCTGCAACACCATTTTTATCCACTAGAGGGCATTTCATACCTGTACAAGGAGCAAGCTGCACAAATATACTGACAGCAAATGCCTGGCTAGGAACATGCAAAATCAAAATAAATGAATGCTTAAAAATATCCTGAGGCAGGTAAATTTTTTTTGCAAAAGGAATAATAATTAAAAAAATATCAAACCATTTTCTGCCTTTAAGGCAAGGAGACATGCTTAAGAATTCAGCAACTACTGAGTAAATGGCTCAGAGTTATGTTTCTGAAAGGTACAGTGCATTTGTAAACAATCTTACTTAATTCAGGATTGTAATGGAAAAACCTTCTGTAGTTCCTATTTTCAAAAGGAACTCAGGTCCAGATTTTAAAAGCATATAGGGCTGCTCTGCTCAGTGTTGCCAGACCTACTGACCTAGATGGCTAAGTCCCATGCTCAGAAGAGACTTAGGCACTGAGGAAATACACGTTCATTGTGGTCTAGGCTCCCTAGTGTCTCCAGGATAGATTTGCAAAGAGATAAAGGCATTAAACTGCTACTTCAGGGGCATGTCTACCTGAGACATTTACTGCAGAGCTACCTAATCAGTTCTGCAGTAAAGTCTCTGCATCTACACATGTGGCCCTATTAAGCTGCAGTAAACTGATAAATGCCACCATAGGCTAGTACTTGTAAGGCTGCACTGGAGCACCCTCATGCCCCAGCCAGTGCCTCCACAGCATATTGAACTGGGTCAGAAAGGCCCCAGCCTGGCAGGCTGACCCCCACACCCCCTGCCAGCAGGGTTTGCTCCAGTTCAGCTCAATGTGCTGCAGTCCCAGGGACATGTGTAAATGCAGCACCCGGGAGCAATAAATTCTGACATGATATACGCTGGAGTTTATTGCTTCTTATTAATTGCACATGTAGATGCACCCCAGGTATTTAATGTTCAGCATTTCAGCAGTGCTGAACACCTAAAAACTTGCACCCAGCATCTGCTTGTGGCTGTAGACAAATGTGTTTCCATCACTAGTTAACAGCAATATTTTTGCTCCTAAACATGAGCACAGTCATCCAGGTCTGCATAGTGTTGACCTCCTGGGGTGCCAAGGAACAAACTAAGCATTCCTCTGCCTGTCTGGCAGATGTATTTCAAAAATAGCTACTGGATCAGGCCTCACAGAAAACACAGTGAGGAGGAAGTGATTTTTGTCCAGTAGCTAGGCTAGAGCATCTACCTGGGATGGAGGAGATCCAGTTTCAAGCCTTTCTCTGTCT